TTTTTCCCTCGTTACTATACCTCCACCTTTTTTTTTTTTTGTGGTCCGATGGACCACGGATCAGATATTACACTGATCAGAACAGATACTACACTTGATCTTACTTGGCCAAAAGTCCGAGAAAGGTATTTCTGCGTCTCTGTTACATGCAGAGCAAGTTTAGGGCCTCGCCACACCTACCCCGAAAACGGGAAAATGTTCGAGAGCGCGCTCTCGGACTCGGGAAATCGCGAAAAACGGTTGGAGAGGCCTCATCGCCGCACTGCCCTCTCGAAGGGGTTGCGCTCCACTGTGTCGGAAAAGAACTGCGTTTTTCGAGAGTGCAGTGTGGCGGTGCAAGGGCCTTGGTCCACTACTCACCAAATGTGCAAAATGAGCATGCATCTTCTGCTAGACCATGGAAAGATACACCGCCAGGTTTTTTGTCTTTTGTGCATGTGGTGAGTAGTGGACCGAGGCCTCGGTTCGAGAGGTTCGAGCCAAACACGACAAAACGCTGGCCGCAGACGGTGGTCCGTTGCGGCACACTCGAAATTTGGGCCAAAACCGGAGGTGCCTTCGACCACTCTCGAAAGTGGCAACTTCGCAGCAGGCGGGGCAACGACCACAGTTCGGGAGCACTCCTGAAACCCGCGTTCTGGCCACTCTCGAAAAATTTTCTGACACCGATTTTCGAGAGTTGGTATGGCGATGTGTTTCCACTCCAAATTGGTGTTTTCGGGATAGGTGTGGCGAGGCCCTTATTTCTACATCCTCCCAGGGCCTACCACTTTGGTGGAGATGGTTTTGTCCTCGTTGGTTGTTTTGAGTGCTCTCCCTAAATCATGCTCCCCTACTTGGATCTCACATCACTTCTGCGGTCGATGACGACTCACACCACGTGGAAGCCCCAGTTTAAGTTCCAGTGGTGCTGGCCCCAGGATAACTCCTGCGCCCACCCGCCCTGGTGCTTGCCCACTAGTGAGGACCCCGTTCCACACAACTACACTCGAGTTTTTTTTTTTGTTTTGTTTTGTTTTTCTAAATAAATAAAGTAAGCTCCATTCTTCTCTCAATTTCACCTCACGCTACCTACCTGCCACTGCTCTCGCACTTGAGCCGCACTTTACTGCAATCTTGATTAAAAAAAAAAAAAAAGAAAAAGGAACTTGAGTGCGTTATGGCCGGTCCACCTAACCCTCGACTGCACGCTTGAAGAAAAAAGGAGCGCTTGATGAAAAAAGGTGCACCTTATCTTTCTGTCTCTGTAGCGTTCCAATCTTAACGGATGTACCGAAGGACAAGACCGACCGACCGTTTTGACAGTAGCTGTGCCTCCCTTTCTCATCGTCCCCGACACCTCGTCGAGGAGCAGCAGAGGCTATGGCCAAGACTCTTTAAGTCTCAAGTGTGGTGGGGGAGGTGACCTGAAAAATTGCCCGATTTGTTTGCTTGGCCTGCACTACACACACCCGCACTTGAGATATTTCCCACCCACCCGTTCCCTAATCCGGAACTTTTTAGAGGCTGGATTACAGACATATGAGAGTTGTCTTCGGCACCGGCCATGTGGTAGAGCCCCCCTAGTCGTATCCTATCGGACTCCCTCCCAACCTACCTCTTTCCTGGGGCTTGGTCGCGCACTTGCACGAATTAAGAGATACTGACCGTAGATAGCAAAGATCAACGGCCCAAATCTCCTAATTTTGTGCAAGTGGGACCTAGCCCCCGGAACCTTAATTACGACGGGAACCTGACTAGATCAACTCTCTCTCTCTCTCTCTCTCTCTCTCTCTCTCTCTCTCTCTCTCTCTCTCTCTCTGACTCTCCCCGGCTTCATTGTTGTTTTTTTTTTTACAGAAGAATTGTCATTTTTCTTTGTTTTTTTTTGTTTTCTTTTGTTTTGATGTGTACCTACCGGTAGCCCGAGGCTCGGCACGGTTCGGGTTACCGGTAGGCTGAGCCACGGGCCTTCAGATCTGCTAGGTACTGGTGGTTTAAAGGGTTGGGGCCCAGGAATATCCCCTATTAGGGGAACGGGCTGAGTGTTGAGCTCAGTAGAGGCGGAGGTAGTAGTGGATGGTCGCGTAGAATGATGTCTGGATGGGATGGCGTGATTTGTTGTGGGAAGACATTTTTTCTGTAGTTTGTCGTAGTAATTTTCTAAGTAGCTCAAAATTCTCTCAAATTCTCTTAGCGAAAGCCGGGGCTAGGTCCCACTTACACGAATTAAGCGATCTTGACCGTAGATAGCACAGCGGTCAGAATCTCTTAATCCGTGCAAGTGGGACCTTGCCCTGGGTAACGGCTCGGTGTCTCAAACTTTCAAATTCGACGTGAATTCCCATACGGGACGCTGAGCCCGGTTCCCAACACGTGCTGCTCACCACCAATAGATTGGAGCCTTGTCCCAACAAGGGGCCCCTCTCT